AGGAGTAGATTGGATATATATTTCTATTTCTGACCTACCTCTTGGGCATCAAGTATGGTTGGTGCGGCCGTCAAAAACCCTGCACACACCGGATTGGTTGACATGCGAAGATACCTTATTGAGGCCTCCTTACACCAGCAGGGTACACTACCCTTTGCTAACGAATGGGCTGTACTCCATGTTCCTTTTCATTACCCCACCCTGCGTATGAATATTCTGAGAAAAAAATATTGCTTCACGAGCGGTAGACTTCCGCTTGGCCTGATCTGTGTCGTCTCTTATATGCGGTGTATCGGGATGGTTTGTGACGGCGACGGCTCGTTTCTTTGCCCTCGGCGAGTACGGAAGAGGAGGTACTGCATGTCGTGGTGTACCGAACGGATTACGCTATTGATCGACCTCGCCAAAAGTTTTGTGTTTCCGTCTGCCGCCCGCCGCCGACGGTCCATGAAAGATGCCACCTGGCACATGTGATGCTGTTATCTCTCGCAGCGATTGGCGACTGTGGAGGTCAAGCGATGTACGACAGGTTGCGGGGGTCCTACAACTCGTTTCGCCCTTCTGGCTCCTTGCCCGTACCCCCTTTGGAGGAGTGGCACGGAGTGGAGGCCTTCTGCAACAATCTCTATTGCAGGTACTGTTCCAGAGTATAAGATCCTTTACAACCATGCGGTTCAGGCTCTTGGGGCACTTGGTGATGCCGGAAAACGGAACTTGCACAGTCTTGCTAGCCGCAGTACAGTGGCGATGAGTTCGTGCGTTTGGTGATAGTGTGAAGAACATATTCTCAACCTGGGTTTGGAGTCACACGCGACCAAACCTGACGGCACGTTCTCTCCCTTGACAAGAAAATTGTGTTTGGCCGCACCACTCACTTGGTGGGGCGGTCGAACTCTTTGCAAGCAGACTACAAGCTTCGTCGGCGTCACCCGTAGGCAGCATTGAGGTCTGCGATGGGGCGAAGGAGAAGGACAGTGACAAGGGTGAGACGACTCACCAAGGTCACAGGGAGACCCAGAGTGACACGTTGTCAGCATGCAATGTTGCTGAGACGAGTATCGGCACAGTTCCTGCTTGTCCAATTGAGGGCGAAGCTGGTTTTTGTGTGTGCTCCATTCTGGTCTCGACAGCACCCAGTGCTTCTGCAGTATCCTCAAACAACCCATGTTGCCGTCTGAAGACAGGACTTCACTCCAACCGCGTCAGAAACGAGGTTGACAGTACGGTCATCCCTCCCGAGCCAAGGTTGCCGAAAATGAGCGAGGGGAGCGGGTCGGTGGAGGATACGGAGGACGATATATCTAGCGTTGGCGCAGGGAATTGGTTGGATGTGACCCATGCCATGTTAGATGCACTCTGAACGTGTGACAAGAGGGTACCGAGGAAACCAACTGTCTAGACTAGCTGTGGATAGGGAAGAAACCGGAGGGGCGTTATCCTCTCTCAGATGTGTGATTGAGTATTGCTACAGTGGTTCCATCTCGATACAATCCATTGCACTCAGGGGTAGAGTGTTTGATGTTGGCCGCTCCACGTTTGTGTGTTTTTTGCGAACATTGTTGTGAAGCAAGTTGTCCGTCATGGCGACATTGCGTTTCATTCAAAAATTATAGAAACTGTACCGTAATTCCTCTCGACTCGGTTGTTCATACCGCGAGGCAAACCCCACATCCCGACTACGTTCGACAACAAGTAGGGTTCAGTCTTTGGTTGTTGACGGTGCTTCTTGAACTGTGACATAAGCAGGGCATGCGCGCGCAGGTTCTAAGGCCTCTTTCGGACAGGGCATTCACTGCATGGGAGATAGACTACAGGGTTGTTCACGGAGTAGAACCGCTCCGCGGAGCGTTTTTTTTTTCGTGAAGCTCCGCACAGGGGAGCGTTTTTTGTTTGAAAATATCACAGGAGCGGAGCGGTTTATCCGTATTACGGTTTTCAAGGAGCGGTTTTGTTTACTCCGCAGATAGCATACACCCCGCGAAACCGTGACCTTGAGGACGATTGACTGTCAGAAAAAAAGCGTCGAAACCGCACGGACATCCGTACAAATCGACGGAGGGCCTGAAATTTCGTGAAAATATTGGGGTTTGGAGGCCGCCGGTGATACCTTATTACGCGTCCTCGCCGCCAGGACAGCCCAAACAGACAAAAAAATATCAACAATTATTGTTAATCTATGAAGAAATCGTTCAGAAAAGAGAAATGTTCCCCACATCGATACCTCCTCGACCCCAACGTTCCTGTTAACGTACAACAGCAGATAATCCCTCCTTTGCCTCTAGTTGAAACTTGCCAGTACTAAGCACTTCGTTTGGTAACACCAGGCGTCTCTTGTATTCAACCAAACACGCCCCTAATTCACTCAGCCAGGTTCGACCTCTTGCTCTCCCGCGCTAGCGGCTTGGGACAGATGCAGAGCGTTAACCTTCCCGACACAAAACACCGTGAGTCCGTGGGAAAAAGAAACATGACTCCGAGTGACTTAATTTCCGCAGTTAGTTGTGTGACGGCGGAGTACATAGATAGCTCAAAACCGCTCCGTGAAAAAGCCGCTTGTTGTGCGGATTTTAGGGAATCCCCAGGGAGCGGAGCGGGGTTTATCCGAGGGCAAAAATCCTCACGGAGAGGAGCGGTACCTCGTTCATATCACGGAGCGGAGCGGTGGAAAAAAACGCGCCGTGAACAACCTGAAAAATATTCGCAAAGACGTGTCGATTCAACACGCAAGAGCATGACCGTGGCGCCCGTATTGCCTGGAGTGTCCCTATACTGTATTACCAACCCCAGCAAGAGGCCACGCGTTCGTATGTTTATTGGGGGAAGGATTTGGCATGTTTCGGTAAGTCATGGTTGAAGCCATTGTGCTTCCCAAGGTTATTTGAACTGGTCATTGAGTTGAACATGATTTCTATCTGAGGAATTTTCTCTGGGTAATTGGGGCACGTTTTCCCGGAGTTTCCCGTCCCCGTTCTGACGCAACTCCGATGTAATGTTGATCTTTACTTGGTATTTTTCAACTCCGCAGGTAAAACGAGGAAAATGATCCAAACATGAACTGCCCAAATCCCATTGGGTAGCACATAAACTCCGCAGGGAAAACGCGGAAAATCCAAACGTGAACTACCAAACCCAATGTCAGAAATACTGCTTGTTGTGCTGCGGCGGACAGCATGGTATCACATCCCCCCCCATGATGATTTCCGACAGCAGGGCAACAATCAGGCGGATTCCGCAAAATCCAGCATGCCAATTCTGCATTCCAACTCCATCGATAAAACTCCAAACCGAAACAAGAAACCAACAATACATTCACAAGTTCTGCCGGTCGGAAATTATTCGTTCGAAAGTGTACTTAGAACTCTGGGGCGTGTGTGCATTGTACACATTGTACATACATTGCGCTTTACCATGCAGCAGGTTGTACGAACCGCAAATCAATGCACCGTCCACGAACCTGTTATATTTTGGGGTCGGAAACGAGACTGTGAACGGGACTGTGTAGAAGACTGTGAAGAATTTAATTTATCTATACAAACTCAAGTGAATCAGTAATTTCCGAGTTTGGGCTGACGATATCAAAGAAAAAGACGTCACACGCCCAGCACATACCAGTCTGCCGTACAGGCCTACTTGGGAAGGAAAATTGGTACTCCGCAAGGATAGACTCGTCGGTCCCGGACATGGACCATGCATTGAATGTGTTTGGGGTGCTCGGCAGAGTATCTACGGGGCCTCCGGGGGGTACGCGGATGAAATGTGTTGATGGGCATGCTGCATGGCGATGGTGTTGCCTACCGCATGTCTCTCACTCTCTAAGCAACAAGGTCTTGAGTCAACCTTATTTCTCTTTCGGCCTCTGACGAGCTACCACCGCACCCAAACACAATATATTGTTATGGCCTGGTGTTGGTAGTGGGTATTGGCGTCTGAACTGTATTAGTTCAATAAATCGTTTGGTCCTACGATAAATTGCAGCCTATCTTGTATTTCATCGCACCCAGGTGACATCCGAGGGGACATCCGAGGGGTGGGTGGGAATTCACCGTAACCGGTGCGGAAGTACAATAAAACTACTGTGCCCAACCTAGCTTTTCCAGCGCACCCCGCCGTTGCCAAAACTCCGACGGGTGGTTGCGATCTTTGACAAAACGCAGCGGCCTATACACGGTGCGGTGCGGCACATAGGCCTCGGTGCGATTACCCCGACGGGACTGATCAACACCAGCTGATCTATGGCACAGGATCTTTGAAAGCGCCCACAACTTCGTAGATATTGAATGACTGTTGCTTTTTCGTGCTGCGGACCAATCTGGTGTGTCGTATCATGACAAGGAGGGTGGCACCCTATCTATCCTGTTTGAGACTGCCGATATCTGTCAATCGCCTTCTAACATGGTGTCCTTAGCAGATCGGCGCACCCATCCGAACCTTGTCGGCAGAAATTGCTTCCAATAGACTGTCCTGGTCGTCAGGGAACTGCTCTCTCGAAGTCATGCCCCTGGGCGCGCCTCTGCAATTCCCCTCGCCCTCAAAGTAACGATACAACACATAAAAAGCATGACATGGCCTATTTTACGTTTGAACGGTCGCAGCTAGGGGCTTGAAAGTCAGCATGACTATTTGTAGCATGATTTCCTTCTGAAGGAGACCGTGAGGCTTGCCTCAATGGCACTAGGTAGATACGTTTAACTGCGATGCTTATTACCGCGCATAATTGCCCCTAGCACTCACGAGCATCGAACAATAGAGCCTAAACAGTAAGCGCCCGCAGGGTAAGATCTCCGAAATAATGGCAACGCTAGAGCACATTTAGTATATGTCCCGCTACGCATACAGCCTGGTAGTCCCAATATTGTGCATCGAACACGGAGTCCGTCCACGGGGGCAAGCACATAACGATTCAGGATTTTCCCAACGGACTACTACGGCACGTGTGAGGCATCACAGGAATCTTTCCGGCCTACTCCGAATCAGCACGCGAAAAGCTATGCCGGGTATCATCACACGCCGCAGGTGTAGCCGAATTCTCCTGGGACGCAGACTTGACCCGCATTGCACACGGCCGCCTGAGGTGGAGAGCATTCACACACGTCGGAGGATAGGCGTTCGGCGCTAACAGAGACGGCGTCGTGTGTGGTGGGTACGCACTGCAGGTCGGGGTTCAGCCGGAGGTCCAGCGAAGTCAACATATCCAGCCCGTCAAACAGCCCGGCAGGTAGAGTGCTGAGCAGATTCATGTTCATCCAGATGTCTTGGAGATGTCCGGGTCCTGTAGAGTTGGTGTCCTGCGGCTGGAAAACACTCGCAGGGATGCCGACCAGCGAGTTCCGGTTCAAGTTCAGAACCTGTAGCGCCTGTAGGCCCTGGAATGCCTCGGCCGGGACGCTGACGAGGCTGTTGTCGTTCAGGAAGATGCGCTCGACGTGCGTGAGTCCGTGGAACAGGTCTCCGGAGAAGGTGGTCAAGTAGTTGTACCCGAGGCGGACTTCCTTCACGGCGTCTCTCCCGAAGACGTCCATGCACGCCGCCAGTTCTTCCAGGTTGTCGTCCGTGATGCCACAGTACGCCAAGTCCAGCTCCGTCCCGGGCATGCCGCACACGTAGTGCTCGCTCGCAGGGTCCAGGCAGGTATTGTTCCCCGGCAGGACCGGAGCCGGCGTTGGAGCGGATGTCGCGCAGGTGAAACCGAGCTCTCCCGGCACGCAGGCCAGACCGACATCGCACAAGACGGCAGGTGCCAGGGAGCATCCGCACACCCCAGAAGAGATTTCGGTGGTCTCCACGTTGTCGGCGGCGCTTGCGGGAACGCACTGTAGCTCGGGATTCAGCCGGAGGTCCAGCGATTCAAGCTGCGGAAGGCCGTCGAACAGCTCTGCGGCGAGCGTGGTGAGCAGGTTCATGTTGATCCACAGGTGTCGGAGCTGCCCCAAGCCCCGGAAAAGGTCCGTAGGCAGCGCGGTCAGAGAGTTTCCGTTCAAGTTCAGGACCTGCAGCTTCCCCAGAGCTTGGAAACTCTCTGCGGATAGCGTCTCGCTCAGCCCATTGTTGTTCAGGTACAACTTTTCCAGGTGTCCGAGCCCGTCGAACAGTCCCTCGGGAATTGTGGTCAGGTAGTTGAACCGCACGTACAAGGCCGTCATGGAGCCCCGCCCCAAGACGTCCAGGCACGTCTCGACATCTTCCAGGTCGTCGTCCGTGATCCCGCAGTAGTCAAGGTGGATCTCGGTCCCGTTGACGCTGCAGAGGTAGGCCTCGCTGGCCGGGTCGAGGCAAGGGTTCTTGGCCCGCGTTGGCGCCGGCGAAGGCGCGGGCGAGGGGGGGGGCGTCGGCCCCGGAGTCGGCGCCGGGGTCGGGGCCGTAGTCCCGCACGAGTAGCCGAGCTCCCCGGGGATGCAGAACACGCCGTCCCCGCACATCACCGCCTCGGCCGGGGCGCACCCGCACGTGCCGACGGTCGTGTCGTCTACCTCGAGGGTGATGGCGTCGTTTGCGGGGACACATTGGAGGTCGGGGTTCGAGGTCAGCGAGAGCTCCTGCAGCCCGGCGAGCCCCGCGAAGGTATCCGCGTGGAGCGTGGAGAGGGAGTTCTGGTGCAGCGACAGTCGCTCGAGCTGGTCGAGGCCCGAGAAAATTTCTCCCGGAAGCGCGAAGAGGGAGTTTTGATCGAGGTACCTGAGCAGAGGAAACGCGCGCGAAAGCGCAATGCGGAGGGAAGGAGCGTATCGGGGTCACGTGTGCCTTGGTCTTGAAACACGCGTGGTATTCCATCATCTGTGTTGTGCGTGAGAGGCTTGCGAACGTGATGAGGGTTTTCCGAGCATTCTTGAACACCAAACGATAGAATGGAAAAGCGAGACATGCTCTTGGCGTGTGCAGCGTTGATCGTGTAGGAGAATAGCAAGGGTAACGATCGCAACACGCGGCACTTGTAGAATGAACTGACTGCAAGAAAAGCAATGTCTCAACATGAAAAGTGAACGTCTTAATTCTCGTCTCCGCGGTTCGGGTCGCGCGCTTGTTGTGTCTGACCAAGTATTCACGCAGTTCCAGAAGCGCTCTACACGCACGAGGGACATGTGCAATGTAGGTTAGCGCCCCGGAGAGTGCAGATCACAAGCGTCACATGACCCACGCCAAAGACTGGTCCGTCTTGAGCTAGACTAAGATAAAAATATGCGGCAACTCATATCGGCGATGTGCTATTCACTTGAGCAACAGTGACTACCGAGCAATCATCAAGAGATGAGAGGTATCACTGATAGAAACTTTCTTTGGCCTCGGCAAGCGAATACTCACAGCCACTGCAAGCTCGAAAGCCCTTGGAAGGTGGCAACCGGCATCTCAGAGATGAAATTGTTGCTGAGATATCTGAAAAGTCGGAGGACGGCAGCCGAAACGGGAAGCGATTGAGTTCAAAGGGGAAGACACTCTGTGTCGACCAGACAAGGTTCACACGTGGTCGAGACGCTTTTTGATCGTCATGAACAAGACAACTAGAGAGTGAGTCTGGAGTATCGCGTGGCCTTTGGTAAATCCCTAGGTTCCCGGCGCTTCGCCCTCACTCCATCTTCACGTAAGGAGCCGAGCATGCGCGCGTCTTTGGGCTGCTGCCGCTTCATAGGCTGCAATCAATAGAGCTCTGCCTCACATGCGCTCTAGCCTCCCAAGCCCTGTGAACAGATTATCCCGGACCGTAGTCAACAGGTTGTACCGAAGATACCTGTCGATAGATACGTGGAAAGCATCGGGAAAAGCTTATCCAACGGAGTCGGAACCGATCACATCCAGTGTATGCAAATGCTGGATGTAGGAATGACGTCTGGGCCGCCTCTTGGTGTCACACATGGCGCGTAACCACACGCCTCTACCCACGTGTATCTGACAAAATATCGGTAGGCGGTAGACTCTTGGACAACTCGCTCTCGTCCTTCGAGTAACGTTGCCCCCATAGCCTCTAGACAGCGGAAGGTGTTGACTCCCTAGACATGCAGATACCCTCTAACCTACACGTTGAGTGGGTGATACTCACACGCGTGTCATGGTGCCTCGGCCGAAGACGTCTATACACCTCCCGACGTCGTCCAGGTCGCTGTCCATGATTCCGCAGTTGTCAAGGATGCTGAGAAATATCACGCGCCAACGTGCCGCACAAGAGAAAGCACAACAGGGACGCCTTGGAAATAGGGCGACGACGAATACTACCAAACTTGTTACCGGGTTGGCTCCTGGCCAAATAAGCACTGCTGCGGATGTGGATGCAAAAACGTCCATTAAAACGTCCGTGAAAGTGCGGGCTAGTTCATGAGTGATGGTGTATTTTGAAGCAACGAAGCAGGGAGATAGAGTCTTCAGGACTTGTATCAATTTTTGTAACACACAGAGGTTTCCGGTATATTGTGATGCCATTCCCACGTTGCCCACCAATGACAACACTCACATTTGGGTCGCACCGCTGCTGTTGCACTTGTAGTTAACGCTACCAGGGTTCAGGCAGGAGTTGTTGGCTGTAGAGGTGGGGAAAAAGGGAATCAAACAAATCAGGGGGGCGGGTGGGCTACGGTCATTTGACCAAGCATAGAATTTGCGTCTGGATGGGTCCTGTCCCAGTGAGAAAAAGCCACAAGAAGTCTTGCGAAACGGTACTCTTTCTGCTTTGTCTACGTTCGTTCGTCATGTAGCCGACTTCAACGGAGTGGCTGGATTCTTCATCTGCTCGACTATCGGGACACGGGATTCGCACCGCGTTTCGAGAGATATAAAGAGTCAGTTGAACGAAAACACCGAGGTTACCTGGCGCAGTAGGTGCAGAGAGCGGTACTGGCGTTGGCGCGGGTGTCGCTAAAGGTATGGCACCGGCAGGAGTCACATGGTTATCGACGGGTTGGACACGGCATCACAATAACAAGCGTGACGGGCGGTGTCAGTCGGAGGTGCTCCTAGTATTCTGGGAAAAGATCTCCCACGAAGACAACATCCTGTGCTATACGATAGAGAGTACGATAAAACAGGCCTTCCGTAGCATTTGACCATAGGAAGAAGAAATTCGGTGAACGTTCAAGAAGGAACCAGATCTTTCGCTCGGACATCGTTAGCGCGAGATTTCAGTGCAACAACGGTGCTACATAACTACGGACTTACGCGAGCGAGGGATGCCACCAATCAGTATTGCCGTAGACGCAACGCTCACCATCAACCACGGCTGAAAGGTTCAGAAACAATAACATGCACTTGGCCGCCCTTCGCGCGCCACGACTAGTCGAAACCGCCATCATGGACATCGATCTGTGGGACAATATGTCGAGAGCATGCGACGAAAGGGGAATGAGTTCACAGACTTTACTATTTTTTGCATCCGTGTGCCTCTGTACGGGCAGTAGATAAATTTTGTCGTCGAAGAGGCCTTTCTTCTGCGCCCGTCCTCGTTTCGTTGTAATTTATCGCGGGCCGCTTCCCACAGGGTAATTAGTTTTGCAGGGTACGCCACAAGACTACCAACTATTTGTCTTCATTGCTATTCATTTGACTGCAAAGGCTGACTGAGCACATGTCCGTCCTAATTTCATGTGTGTTCACCCTCTCTAAGATTGAGGGAAGGTCCGTTTATGTTCCACGTGCATGCATAGTACTTGGTGAACGATATAGTCCTGCAGTAGTCGTCTAGTCTATGCGCTTACGCCAAACGTGTGGGGACGAAGACGAAGCCGCTCGTATCAATAGATTTGCCTGATACAACATTTTGTGTGCTAGGACACATGGAAATCATTAACGCAACAGTACGGAGCTCTCATGCGCAAGTAGTCTCCTACTTATCGTACTGCGTGATGGCCCTACTTCAAGCGTGCATGCGTACATGCATTGATTCATGTTGAACAAGCGAGCGCATGCATCGACTCGGCGGTCATGCAAAAAAATATACAGGCGTGCTCTACTGTACAGCAGCTCACCTACCAGCATGTTATAGTGTTTTGCTCATGCAACGCTTGTTTGTACCGTAATTGCTGGGTCTGCATGGGTGAGCGTGCCGGTCGTTAGACGTCTACGACTGCCCCATGTGTCCGACAAGCAGACTGTGTGCGGCACGATTTTTCAGGTAACCGGGTACAGCACGACCCAGAACACAACGGACCAAATACCCAGAGCACTCAAAACAACTACTGATAGCTGTGTTCAACTCACTTTTGAAGTTTGCGTGCCGATGTCCAAGCGTATGTGTCAGCTCAAGCCACGTGAGCGCGAAGGCTGCAAAAGACGCCACAGAAAACGTGTAGACTAGGGCTGGTCGACCTCAATGATGTATGTTCTCAACTCAGCCAAAGGTGCTTCTAATACTCCGGCGCTTTAGCGTGTTGGCGCTGTTCTGGACGTAGTTTCCGGAACTGACACCCGGGCTATTGGTACCAGCTATAGCTGTATGTTGGTGGCGTTGCGAGAGGACACCACGGCCAGCACCAGAGCAGAGAACGGAGACAACATGCGCGAGAGAACCCAAAATGCGGCGGGATCGGCACTTGTACTTGCCGAACAGTTTCATGTCCTCTTGTGTTTCGCCGCATCTCAGCCGTCACAGGAATTCTCAGAGACCCTTCCAACTCCAATCCAGCTGGGTCACACAAAGCTCACACGCTGCACTCTGCTCTCTTGTGCAGCAATTCTTTGGCAAGAATGACTTTCCGGATTTCGACGTTCCAAAATGCGGCACGGTCGGTGGCAGCGAGACGTTCGTTGCCGCGATCCCAGCATCTCGGTCGGAGGGAAAGAAGCGCATCGTCTGCTGCTGCTGCTTTCAACGCCATGCGTGACCGTCCTCCGGTGCGTATGTGCCCGAAACCCGTATGTCTGCTTGGATCTACTCCATCTGGCGGATGTTCATGTGTGGGCCCCGAGTGTCAGTCTGCCTCTGGTCCTTGAGCCGGAAGGTGTTGGTTGAACTCTCCGGGGTGATACCAGCCGCTGTACAACCTTGGTAGCGTACAGAAGCGGTCCCCATGTACATACAATTCAGTGCAGGCCGCCAAATAGCGACCTGAAGGGAGCTAATGCCGCCGTAGAACAGCTCGCAAAGCCGAGATTATACTCTTGGATATGCTTCCCATTCGCCGTCTGCCATGCGAAGAGAGAAGAACGGCCGCTGGCCCAAGCCCTCTTTCCTCAGTTGGGCTGCCGAATATAGCCAGTTCTCCCAGGGTTTTCCTTTTTCCATGCCTCATTTTGGCCGTTGGTCGCAACTTGCACCTCCTGCACTGCCGGTCTTCGGACTGAAGAACCCTGATCTACGGCTCCGCAAAATAGTGTCCCTCTGCGGTGCAGTTAGAGGTGTAGCAGTTCCTTGCCCCAACCTTACCAGCGAACAAGCGCTTGAATATGAATGTTGAGGTTGAAACGCTGAACAGCGATGTACAGCAGTAGTGTATGTCACGTTTTTTTTTCCAACCCCAAAAACCTTCAACCTGGCCGATTGAAGCTTTTCGAGGTTACTGCTGTGTTGCACCAAGGAGACCATCGGAGCGACCGGCCGAATCTTCAATCCCAAACGAAAGCGTTTTGTGCCCCTGTCTTCATGGCATTACAGGTCCAGGCTTTCACATTGTCAAAACAAGAGATATGTAGGTGGTACAAGATTGCGGTACATGTACATCGGCACGTGCTCGTGCAACCTTGCGTCCGGGAAAGACATAGACTAATGTGCTGAGCATGTACAGTACAGAGTACCATTACGCTGCTGTGTGTGTCTTTTTTTTTCCTTGATGCTGCAGTGCTGCTGTGACGGAACAAAGAGCACCCTGCCAAACTTCAAACGATTGAGAAACAACAACTTTTTTGCATCGATCGCTCGCAACTTTGTACTTCTTTTGGCAAACTTTTGGATTCCCATGTATGTATGTATGTATGTGTTCGCTGTTTTGACTCAGGAATGTACGAAACGTTCCATTTTCTTGAGTAACGTAGTGTTGTCGCGCGGACGCGAGTCTCAGCAATCGTTTTACCACATGAAGCACTCGACGTCCGCTTGGTCCCAGTCGGCACCTACATCTGCTGTGAAAACTACAACGACCCTTGTGTCTAGTATGTAGGGTGGGCATATTGCGGAGTGCACAGTAGAAGTAGTGGGACGATTTTTCGCTCCATCATCATCGCCTCGTGAAACGTGAAGTTCCGTCCCCGTCTCAGGTGAAGTTCCGGCTACTGCTGCTTTGTACCTGAGACACACACGACGCCAAAATCTTTGTGTTCCTTTTTATCAAAGTTTTCGGCGCCTGACAACACGCATGCCATACCCCCAACGGCATCCACGTCAGTTCGACGTTTGCAATTTTATCGACGGCGAGGCGAGGGAAAGCGCCGCGACGAGCTGGATCGACATCAACAGCCCGGCCAATCAAGCTCCCGTGTGCAGGGTGCCCCGTAGCACCAGTGCGGAGGTGAGGCACGGGGGGTGTATCACACGTCAGCAGCAGTGCTATTTTACCGCACACAGTGGTGGGCAGGCACGGGAGTGGAGCAAGGCCTAGACGATCTTCCTCCCATTTCAGAGAACATGCACGTGTGCGAAGAGTTCGACCGTCTTACTTTAAGAGCGTCAAATGGGGCGAACTTTGTTGCCGTATGGAGCGACGCGGGCAGGTGCTCTCTCTGCTTTCTCTCTCTGCTTCGCCTCCTCGAGCATTTCGGGGTATGCTAGCTTGACCGCTGAAGCGAAGGCCGCGCACAAAAATACCTAAGGCCTCCCGCTCGTCTTCGCGTTTTGCTTGTTCCAGAATTTTCAAACTTTTCCAAGGAAAGCTCGCATCTTTGTTAGTTATTTTCCTGCCTTGCATTGTTGTCGGAGGGACATTTCAGATCGGAATAATAAATCTATTAATCTTTGTACGCCTTGAATTGTGCCATGCCAGTTGAGTCAGGCATAGCGCGGAGCTCCCCCGTACCATGTGCATGACAAGTGCCACCAACCGCGATTTCTAGAGATAGTTTCGTACTCGGGGTAGTAGCTGAGTGGACCACCTGTGGGTGGCATAAGCTACCACACCCCCCGGACCGATTTTCAAATGTCGACTACAGTACTCCAGGACGACAAAGAGGGTGTATGGTACAAACGATACCATTTTGGAGAGCTCTCGCTGGGACAGTTACAACCCCGCCACCATTTTTCGGCACCACATACCCTTTCTGCTGCGGAATTACCGAGCTTTGAAAATCAGTCCAGGGGGTGTCGTACGTTGTGTCACCTAAAAGGTAGCGTGTCAATACAGTACTTGCAAAAAAAAAAACGTCTGGACTCCTCTTTATACACCACCCCCTTCTTGCTTTGCGTTCCACTGTGTTACGTGGGGGGAGGGTCGCAGATGGAGGCTGCGGTTTCGTCGGCAAAGGAGGCGTTTTCTTCGTGGAGAGATGTGCCCGTTCAGCACCGATCACGAGTGATGTTCAAGCTCCAGGGGCTGATAAGGTCTGTCGAGAAGGGTTCTGCCTTGCAGCGCTGATCGCGCAACAGCCAGCCTCTATCTATTGGATGGCTACTATGTGGATCATGGCTGTAGGGAAACTGCGGTTAATTTAGCGTAGTCGTAACAGGACAGGGAAGGCTGAGGATCCTTCCCGTTAGAGGGCAAGCCGTCAGACCGGCGGGCGCTCTTGACATTGTTGCTGGCGTAGGAAGGGCTTCGGAAGGTTCAGTGGTGCCAGAAACTAGGAGGGTCCGCGTCAGTTGGACCGGTCCTCATGTTAGAAGGACCGGGATGATTTTTTTGTGTGAAGACAGCAGCGACGGCAACAACAACAACAACAACAACCATTCAGCATGGACGCACGAGTATGCAGAGTTCCAAAAACCAACCAGGCAACAGGTCAAACTCGAGAGATTCGATGTGTGACAAGCCCGACCTCCCTTGAACACGGATTTTTTGGCCGGCTCTGCCCGTTCAGGGAAAGAACGGAGGAACTCGCTGCTAGCATCACGTTGGAGCAAGGGAAAACTCTAGCCGGTGAGGAGCCACAAAAACGAAAGTCAGGGGAACCACCCGCCGCCGTTGATCGACTAGGCGGATGCATCAACGGGGGACGAGAAAGGTCTTCCAGTAGTCGGTCTGTTTCACGGCTGTTAACATCGGCCGTCAAAGTTGCTAGCGCTTGAGGCGGCGGCGGTGCGTTGGGCCCCGGCAAGCCCAAGAGGCGCAAGTCGAACCGCCAGGTGGAGCTGGGCTTCCCTCGAGCAGAGTGAAATGTTTTGTGCGTACCTTTCTTTTGTGTGGTTGTCCGGTTCAATCGAGGCTAGCTTCGCAGAAGCAATGACAGGCAAGTCGTGACGTCAGAGAGGGTTCCGGCGGTAGGAGACAATCATTTGTCGGCCAACAGGTAACTAGACACCGCGGGCTGTATCGTGAAGCCGCTAGATGGGTGCTAACAGCTTCATACAACAACGTGTTGCGCGGAGATGCTAACCCTACCCTAATTTCGTTGCTGTCGTCGCTTTCGACCCCTTCACCCCTCTAGCCCTGTGACCCTCTATCGCCGGTTACATGCTGTAGACACCTGGGACCCTATCTCCCCTGCAACACGCTGTTGACAGACGCGCGTAGCCGTGGGACCCTCTACGGCCGGTCACATGCTGTTAACACGTGGGACCCTCTATGGCCGGACACATGCTGTAGACACCTGGGACCCTCTATGGCCGGACACATGCTGTAGACACCTGGGACCCTCTATCGCCGGTTACATGCTGTGAACGCCTGGGACCCTCTCTCCCCTGCCACACACACGCTGTTGACAGACGCGCGGGGCGACGTGTTTCGAGGGCTGGAGGTGGTGGAGCAAGCGTGCGGGGTCGGGGCGGCCATGATGGGAGAGACCCTCGGCGGGGTGGCGGCGGGGATGGACACGTACTCGTACCGCGAGCCGATAGGCGTCTGCGCCGGTGAGCAGGGGGGTGCAATCAGGCAGTAAAGTCGGTCTTTTTGCAGATTTCGACATACTTGGTGAATTTGACGTCGCCCCGTCTCTTTACGTATGTGTCCTGATCGTCATCAAAGTTCATAAGACCGTAGACCTCGCATCCCTACCATGCCGGGACGGAGCGCTAGGAGGGGATGATTGTCGCATCGTTTGCGCACAACATCGCCCGATGTTGTGTAAGCCGTTGCCGCGCCCCGTCACTCTCAAACAAACTCATTGCACCACGAAAATGTGTGTAAGTACCTCGTCTGTTGTATCACCTCGCGTTCACGTCACGATCGCATCGTGTGTCTCAGCAAACCTCGAAACGTGTCTCCTTGTAGCACATGGCACCACACATCACGCTACGCGTGCTCTGCCAATCTATTCTGCTGCTGCTTTTTACCCTGTTTTTATCTCCGTCGACACCGTACGAATATCCCCCCCCACAATGCCTCACCTCCCGTGCTGAGCGTAGTTGTAAAAAGTCGGGGGGGAGGCGATATTTGCCGTACCGCCTTGGTGCCTGGGCTGCCCGCCGTACTTTCTCTTGCTGATTTTCGTCCTGCTAATTTTGGCCCTTGTTGTCATTTCGCAGCGAAATGCGCACGCGTGTGAAGGTGTGCGGCAACACAGGTTCTCTCAGCTTCACCGTCGTACAACACGGTTGAACGTTACAACTCAGCTTTGTTTTATGTGCTTGGAACCGCTCGTGACCTCGTCCGTGCCGCTGCTTTCCTCCCCCCCCCCCCCCCGCCATGAAGGAATCTGTCCTTTCAATTTCCCGGCGATGATCCCGTTGTGGATGTTCCCTCTCGCGATAGCCGCCGGAAACACGTTCGTGATGAAACCGTCAGAGAAGTGTCCCGGGGCAGCGATGAAGCTCGCTTCGATGGCTTCGGAGGCTGGCCTACCGGACGGTGAGAGTAAGACCAACAAAAAGAAGGGGCTTCTGTTGTTCTCTTTCGAGGGGGCGTGTTTTTCAAGTTTGCGCTTTGGACCGTCGTCCCTCTCGGCTTATCAGCGACTTCAGCGCTGAGCTGTGCATGCTACTACTCCGCTAGTGCTGACGTAGGCAAGGGAAGGGAGTTGCGGTGTAGGTGTCTTAATTGTATTATTTTTGGTGTCTTGGCGATTGGAGTACAACCAGACCAGCTTACGGTTCGAGTCAGCGTTGAAGCATCAACACGGTTTTTCGGGTGATGCTCCCCCAATATGTATAGCTAACCCCGAACCACGCCGGTCAGCTGACCACCCGCCAAAATCTCCCAAACAAACCCGCCGCCTACCGGGTTCCCATTATTGTCCAGGCGTTTTGAATGTGATCCACGGGGGTCACGAGGCCGTCGACTTCGTCTGCGACTCCCCGGACATCAAAGCCATCTCCTTTGTGGGGGGGAATCAGGTCTGTGAGGCTCGAGTTTGGCCGTAGCAGCCGCTGTCGTGCACGTCAGCAGTTGGTGAACCAACTTTTTTTGTATTTTGGGGGTTTCAATAATTTCGTGTAGTAAGTACATGATGTTGACACTGCTGTTGCTAGATAACTCCAAGTCGGGAGAAGGGCAGCTCAAAGAGGCAAAAACACAGTTTCGTGTACGGCGAAATGAGCAGGACCAGTTCGCGGGGACGGTGATTTGTTGCTGCACCTTTTTTGGCGCATTTTCTTGGTTCCGTTTCCTTGTGATGTGTAGCTCCATACGCTATCTTGCAGGTCATCTGTCTCGGGCTGTTGCTGATCTAGCGTGTTTGTCTCACAACTGTACCACTTTTTATCCCGTAGGCATACTTGTCTCACTACTGCTGTACACCTTGTTGTCTCATGGGCATACTTGTCTCACTACGGTACCTCTTGTTGTCCCATGGGCATCCTTGTTTCACTACTGTACCTCTTGTTGTCCCATAGGCATACTTGTCTCACTACGGTACCTCTTGTTGACCCATAGGCATACTTGTCTCACTACGGTACCTCTTGTTGTCTCATAGGCATAGTTGTTTCACAACTGTACCTCTTCTTGTCTCATACGTGCACTTGTCTCGCCGCACCTCTTCTTGTCTCATATGCACCCTTGTCTCGCTGTACCTCTTGTGGTGCCATAGCAATACTTGCACTTGTAGCACTTCACGTGTTGTCATAGGCATACTTGCCTCACTGCTGTACCTCTTCTTGTCTCACAAGGCTGGGGAGCACATCTTCGCTAGGGGCACCGCCGCGGGAAAGCGGGTCCAGTCCAACATGGGGGCGAAGAACCACGTCGTCGTGCTACCCGACGCGGAAAGGCAAGAGCGCTCGAAATCACAAAACTATCATCGGTATAGTCGACCCAAGATAACACACGCACATCAGATAACACCTCCCCCCACACAATACCGCACCCGGTGGAAATGAATTTGCGCGTCAATGCGAGCCCGGAAACGTAAACATTCTCCCAGATCAATGTTAGGGCGACGTATGTCACGACACAGATAACGCACCCAGAGAGGAGGTTTTGGAAGCCCAAATATTGCACATCACCTGGGGGTGTATGCGATACATCCTGCCACCCCACGGTGGTTTTTGCTGAATTGCGTGCATAGTCTTAATGTAAGGTGCGCGCGCGTGTGATGATACTATCCGTTCGCTTGTTCCCGGCTGCGGTCCACGCAGAGACGCCGCCGTGAGCGCGGTAATCGGGGCGTCGTTCGGGGCGGCGGGGCAGCGGTGCATGGCCCTCTCCGTCGCCGTGCTGGTGGGCGAAGCCGGAGGCTGGGCCCAAGACATCGTGCGGGGTGCGTCGGCGCTGAAAGTGAGAGCGAGCGGCCGCCTGGCCGGCCTGAGGCCTCTCTCTCTCTGTCTGTCTGTCTCTCTCTCTCTCTCTCTCTCTCTCTCTCTCTCTCTCTCTCTCTCTCTCTCTCTCTCTCTCTGTCTCTGTCTCTCTTTTTCTCTCTCTCCCTCTCTGTCTCTGTCTCTCTCTCTCTCGCCGTGTGCCTGTGCGCGGTGGTGCAACTAACTCTAGATGGCGGGGCCGCGGTCGGCGCTTTTTTTGTCGGGACGCATCTTTTGTGTACAACACCGCAGGCTGTGTGTGCGCACACGTGTGTGTTCGCCCCATCTCTTCTTCTGACGCCACTCTGGATGGATACCTTGCGGTGTTTATCTATAGGTGTTGTTGATTTTGGTGAAATGTAAACCAGGCTAAGTGTTGATGCCGCTGCTGTTCTCTAAGTCGCGTTAGTTGTGCGTTTGGTGCTCCCCTCTGGTGCTATTCTCCCGTGCGTGCGACAGCAGCAAAATTCTCCAAGTATTCCCTCACGAGGATTATTTATCGCGCTACTGCTGTCTTCCGTTGGTTGTGTTTTCGTGCTTACTTTTGCTGTTATGCGCCGGTACTAACATGCTGAATATGTTTTTGTTGCGGTTGTGCAACAATACTGTGCACTGTACAGGTTGGTCCCGGATGGAAGGAAGGTGTGGATGTGGGCCCGATGATAACCAGGGAGGCGAGGGAGAGGGCCGAGCGCCTTGTACAGGAATCGCAAGATGCTGGCGCGGACGTTGTGCTTGACGGAAGGTCCGTGGGGCGCGGCATGATTTCGGGGTGTTACACCGAAGGAAGCAAGGTTATATCTCGTAGGGCTTAGCATAGGTCCCTGCCTGGCGCTAGCCCTTCTATCCCTACCCTAACCTTGTGACACACCAAACACTTAGGTCCACGCCCGCCTAACCCTACAGGGTAGCGATTACCAAGGAAGTGCTCGAGGGCTGCGGCCGGAAATAAATATGGTAACAAACTGCTTGACCCCAAATCCACACAGGATGCTGCTAGGAAAATTAAGGTAACAAACTAGGGTTAGGGATAGGGTAAGGCTTTTCCCACGGGGTTGATGAGTCGACAGGCCGCAGCAGCGGCAGCAGCAAGAACAACAACATACGGTACATTTCCTGGATCACCCTTCCGCTAGAGCCAGGCAGGTGTGCAGTGCACCAAGAGAGCAGGGGCCGCCGCTGATACGATGTACTCTCCCAAAAAAACAAAGCATACCCACCTGCTAACGACCCGTTGTTTCATCATCACCACGTGAACCGACACAATACCAAGGGCGATCGCGGTGGACGTACGGTATACGAGAGACCGGAATTTCGGGGGTCTCCCACCATCCTGTCCGAGCCATCAGCAAAGCACCTGACATACGTACCCCGACCGCAATACGGCTCACATCACCCTCATTTGAGACCCTCCAGCTGTTTCATCATGAATACTGACACCAATTCCAGAGGCATCGCGGTAGACCTCCCACAATCCTGTCCGAGCCATCAGCAATGCGCCTGACGTACATACCCCGACCGTAATACAGCTCACACCACCTTCATTTGAGACCTTCCGACCGTTTCATCATGAATACTGGCACAATGCCCGAGGCGCCGAGGTTGATGGCCACAAGAGCGGGAACTACGTGGGTCTCCCACCGTCCTATTCGGGTAGTCAGCAAAGGGCCTCACGCACATAGGAGGCGTCACGGAAGACGGATACGAGAGACCGGGGCCTGACGTACACACCCCGACCGCATTCGAAAGCTCACATCGCCCTCGTTTGAAACCTCCCGCTGCTTCATCGCTACACTGTACCCGACGCAACGCCAGGGGCGTCGCGGTAGACGGGTACGAGAGCGGGAACTTCGTTGGTCCAACCATCCTCTCCGGGAAACAGGTCGGGCCAGGCATGTCGGCGTACGACTCAGAGGTGTTCGGGCCGGTCTTGTGCCTGGTGACGGTGGGCACCCTCGAGGAGGCCGTCGGGCTGGTTAACTCCTGCAGCTACGGCAACGGTAGGTATATCCTCTCTCCCTGAAAATCGCTGTTATTGTTGTTGGTGGTGGTGGTGGTGGTGATTATCAATGTTGTTGTTGTTGTGGTGTGGTTGCTGTTGCTGTTGGTGTTGTCGTGCTTGCTGCTGTAGCTAATACTGTCGGCTTCACGCACTATATATAGTGCCGGGCTCTGCTCAGCACCTTCAGACATCGGCACCTGTGCGACCGGCGCAGGCGGACTCTGTGCTTGGCTTTCCTTGTGACTACAACACACCGACTACAACAAGTGTAAAGTGCAAAATCTATCGATTTATGCTTTTCTCTTTCGACGTCGACGCTCTGTCTGCGCTTGTCCGGACGAAAACACGAAAACAACAACCAGGAACGTCGATCTTCACGAGATCGGGGGCAGCAGCAAGGAGATTCCAACGCGAGATTCACGCCGGCCAGGTGCGGGGTGGTGCTCTCTCTCTCTCTCTCTCTCTTCGTTATTTTGGGGGTGTTCATGTAAACGCGTGCCATTGTCTAGTAGATCTCGCATCCCTACAATCCCGGTTCGGGGCGAAGTGCGGGCTACGATTCACAACGATAATAAGTGTTTATTGGTTATGCATCATGACTATGTAAGACAGGGGGGAATTGTTCTTCATTGCTGGTTTAGATTCGTGTTACGTTTAGAGACTTGTGAGGAGAGATGATGCACGTGAGGCAATGCTTGAACGACGGCATGCGTTTGCAATTTCACAAAGTTTTTTGAGTGCGGGAAGCAACACTCTGTTTTGGTGTCGTGTTTCGGTCTGTTTCCGTCGAGATGGTGACGCGTTGAGTTCTTAATTGTCTTTCGACGATGATAGAAAATAATGGATCATCCACGGGTCGTTGTTTGTTTGTTCTTTTTAGGGGCAGATCGGCCCATCCGCGCGATCTCAAAGCGTCCTTACGCGCGCGTGCTGCCCATGCCGAACAAACAGGTGGGGATCAACGTCCCGGTGCCCGTACCGCTGCCTTTCTTTAGCTTCACCGGGTCCGGTGCTTCGTTCCGCGGCGACATCAACTTCTACGGAAAACAGGCAAGGATGGAGTACAGATGGAGTGAAATTCAACACGATCTTGTAGCTACAATAACGGGAGGGATTAGAAAAGCCCTTTCATGATTGCATCAAAAAGCGCCGCCACTGCCCAGAAACAGCAGTACTGCGTGTCTGGAGAAGAAGTGGTCCGTGTGGGTGGATTAAGACAAGGCTTGTGAGAGCAGAGACGTTACCACACCTGCCTGCTGTGCGGACACCGGGTGCACTTTCCCAGTGACGGGTAGAATGTTCGTCGTCAGTGAAAGTTCCTTGGGGGCACGGCACGACGACGGTGGGGTGATACGTTCCAGACCTTTTTTTTCGTTTTTTTTTTTTTGGGGGGGGGGGGGTAAAAGGGGGGAGGGGGGGGGGGGG